AGGTTGACGTGGTGTGTGCGCTGTGCAGGTGACGAGACTCTGCACGCCAATCATCTGCGCGCACCTGCGAAGCGGGTGCACTGCTGTCCTGCGTGAGCAATGCTGGCACGCCGTCAACCTGCGACGTTAGCACGCCGTCGACCTTGCCTTGCTGGAGTGCGGTCGACCAAGTCGTGCTGGAACGCGGTCGACCAAGCTGCACTGGCAGTTGGCCGACCTGAATCCTAGCTCTGATGTAGTCTTGCATTGCTAACTTCATTGTATTATTGATGTCATGTTTTCCTAGTGAAACTCTTGCCAATTCTCCCCGTGAAGTAGCAAGAAGCGTAAACACAAGGAAATGACTAAGTGAGCGAACGCAGAGATCACACGAGCACACGTGCCTAGCCCGTAGTCTAGCTCCCGTTGCAGCAGTTATCTCCGCACTCAGGACCCCAGACCCGGAATCGCCAACCTTCCCCGTCCACTGCAGTGTGGGCGAGGTCTCCGGCAAGGAGACACGGGGCCAGAGGTTGAGCTGATGCGCGTCATACCGAACCGCAAACGGCCACAGAAAATGGGGGGCAGCCACATGGATCATGGAGGTACGAGCGACCTCCATGACTAAGCCAATGCGGCGCTCAGCAACCGCATTCTGCTGCGGATAGGCCGGAAGCGTGAACGTCTGGCGGATGTCGTGCTCCGCACAGAAGGCTGCCAAGAGGTCGGAGGAAAATTCCCCACCTCTGTCAGAGTGCAGACGTAGGACGGGAAACTCCGTCCCGAACCGCTCGTTGAGCTGGAGACGAGTAGCGCGGATCCAAGGGATCAAAACATCAGGGACCTCACCCTTGGTGCGCAAGGGGAAGACCGTGGTGTAACGCGTGTAATCGTCGACGACCAGCAGGAAGTGCCGCGCGTGGCCCTATCCACTGACGCGGGCTGTGCCCCACACGTCCGGGTGGAGAGTCTGCAGGGGAGCCTTTGTGGGAGGGAACGAGGAAGAGTGAGGAGCGGCGCGCTGCCGCACCTCGACACAGGGAAGACAGGGAGGAGCAGGCAAGGGTGGGAGGGGAGGGAGAACCCTGGGAAGACCAGAGGCAAGGACACTGCAGTGCATGCTGCAAAGGCGCTGCACCGAGGTGTGACCAAGGCGGTGGTGACAAAGGAGGGTCTAGTGCGACAAGGCGCGACATGAGCAGGGGGCTGACAACTGACCTGACGCAGACGCAGACGCAGCTACCTAAGGGGACTCAGCTGCATCTGGCCAACGCCAGTAGTAGTAGTAGCAGCAGCAGCGCGGGCAAGGCAGGCGCGGCAGGCAGGCAGGCGGGCAGGCAGGCAGGTAGAGGGCGCGGCAGTGCGCAAACAAGGCAGGTGCTCACCAGTGGTGGGAAGGGCCGGCGCTTGGCGGGCAGCGGCAGGGTAGGCGCATGACGGCGGTGACGGCGGGGCCGCAGCAACAGCTGCAGAGTAGGGCCGCGGCAGTTGCAGGGTGGGGCCGCGTCAGCGGCAGGTCGGGGTCGCGTCAGCTGCAGGGCTGGCGGGGCCGCGTCGGCGTCCGGGCAGGGCAGCGTCGGCGGCATGGCCGGGCTGCGTCGGCTGCAGGGCGCGGCCGCGTTAGAGGCAGGGCGCGGCCGCATCAAAGGCTGGGCGCGGCCGCGTCAGAGGTAGGGTGGGGCCGCGTGATGCAGGGCGCGGCTGCGTCAGAGGCAGGGCGCGGCCGCGTCGAAGGCAGGGCGCGGCCGCGACGAAGGCAGGGCGCGGCCGCGTTAGAGGCTGGGCGCGGCCGCGTAAGAGGCAGGGCGCGGCCGCATCGGCTGCAGGGCGCGGCCGCGTCGAAGGCAGGGCGCGGCCGCGACGAAGGCAAAGCGCGGCCACATCAGAGGCAGGGTGGGGCCGCGTCGGCTGCAGGGCGCGGTCGCGTCGAAGGCAGGGCGCGGCCGCGTCGAAGGCAGGGCGCGGCCGTGTCAGAGGCAGGGCAGGGCCGCGTCGGCTGCAGGGCGCGGACGCGTCGAAGGCAGGGCGGGGTTTCGTCGAAGGCAGGGCGCGGCCGCGTCAGAGGCTGGGCGCGGCCGCGTCAGAGGCAGAGCGGGGCCGTGTTCTGGCCTGACGGGCCTGCAGGGACGGCTCGTGGACATGACGGGCCTGCAGGGGTGGCTCTTGGGCCTGACAAGCCTGTAGAGGCGGCGCGTGGGCCTTACGAGCCTGCAGGGGCGGCGCGCGGGCCTTACGGGCCTGCAGGGGCGGCGCGCTGGCCTAGGGCAGCAAGAGACAGCACGAGGGTGTCAGAATCAAGAAGTGTTGGGCTAGAAACAAGTTGGGAGTACAACTATGAAACCCTAGAGAAATGTACCCCCTAAAGGCTAACCCACTGAAACCTACAAAACAGAAACATATAAATGTTTGCCACACCCCCATAGGCTAAGTGGGGGAGAACAAGAGGTCACAAGACCAGTCAAGAAAGACAAAGCAAGCTCAGGGTGGATCACAACGTCACCACACACTCTAAGCACAAGTAAGAGGCCACAAGGCCAGTTCACATGCAGAGCCACATATGTAACACAGGCATCACAGTGATCTATACCTAGCAAAGCAAGCATGCAGGTATAAATATATAGATCATAGTACAGGCAGAGTCTACAACAAGTGAGGAAAAGTGGGCACAAGCCCTAGCAAAGTGCAGAAACGTTGATGATCACCAGACTGAAGCGCCTTGGTGAATATATCAGCAGTGTTGGCGTGAGTGGCCATGTAACGCAGACGAAGCTGACCACGCTGCTGCAACTCTCGAGCCAGGAAGTAGTGTAGAGAGATGTGCTTCGTTCTGTGCTCCAGTCTGTGCTCCTCACACAAGGCAATGGAAGCCTTGTTGTCGACGTACAGCACTGGAGGAGAACGAGGCCACTCTCCCAGGTCAGTCAGCAGGTAGGTGAGCCAGCGTAACTCCTGTGCAGCCATGGCTGTGGCGTAGATCTCAGCCTCACAACTGGAGCTGAGAACAGAAGACGAGCGAGTAGAACGCCACGAAACTGAGCTAGAGCCAAGGCTGAAGGTGTAACCCTGTGACGACCGCTAAGTAGCCTGGTCGTCAACCCCGCTGAGTGCCCAGTGAGAACAACTGAGCTCCCTCCTCCAAGCATGAGCCCCATGCCCGATGTACTGCACAAGTAGCGCAATACCCTCTTTGCAGCATCCCAGTGCACCTTTCGGTGGCTGCCAGGAGCCACGTAGCGGGCCAGAATGCCAAGAGGGTATGCTAGGTCAGGACGAGTGCAAGTCATCAGGTACATGAGGCAACCAACTAGCTTTGGGTAAGGACCACTCGGCTCTACGGACTCATCCGAAGGCAGAGCTGAGAGCGAGTGACCTATAGCCAGAGGAGTGGCCTGTGCTGAGGACCAGGTGAAGGCGAGTGACCTATAGCCAGAGGAGTGGCCTGCGCTGAAGAACCTGCTGCACCATGTGTGACTGAGTCAGTGTGATGGTGCGGCGTGCTCTGTCCCGGGTGATCTGCAAGCCAAGGTAGCTGCGCAGTTCACCCAGGTCTGTGCACGTGTGTCTCTTCTGCAGCTCGGACTTCACGTGGGTGAGTCCAGCAGTGTCAGCTGTGGCAAAGACCAAGTCGTCGACGTACACAAGGATGTAGAACGGTGGCAGCGATGTGTCGGTGCGCAGAAACAGCGACGGGTCAACAGTAGAAGGCGCGAACCCAAGAGCCGCAAGTGTAGTCCTCAGTGTGTCGTGCCACTCATTGTCAAACTTATATGCTATAGTCTGTGTAGGCTGTAGTGGGGTTGACAATATAGGGTACAACACTTTTAGGTTTTCCTACTTGTACCCACCTGTTTCCTAGTGCATTCATTCCTTGTTCTTTCACATGGTATAGAGCAGGTTCCCTAGTGGGAACGTTTCCTAGGGCCCACCGAAAATCGATTTTTTTTTCCTGCCCGGAGCGCGCTTCGCCCCTGCCCGAGTCGCGCCCCGTGTGCCTACCCTCCCGTCGCGTCCCCTGCCCTTAGCGGCCCTTCGCGCTCCCTTACGGCCCCGTAGCGGCCCCACTTACGGCCCCTCATGGCCCCTCTCACGGCCCTTCGCGGCCCCTTCACGCCCCTCGCGGCCCCTTCGTGGCCCCTCGACGCCCCTCGCGGCCCCTTATCGGCCCGTCGCCGCCCTTCGTGGCCTCGTCGCCACCCGTCTCGGCTTTGTCGCCGCCCTTCGCGGCCCCGTCGCTGTCCTTCGAGGCCCCGTCGCCGCCCTTCAAGGCCCCTCGCGGCCCCTTCTCGGCCCCGTCGCCGCCCTTCGCGGCCCCGTCGCCGCCCGTCTCGGCCCCGTCGCCGCCCTTCGCGGCCCCGTCGCCGCCCTTCGCGGCCCCTTCACGGTCCTTCGTGGCCCCTTCGCCGCCCTTACCGGCCCCTTCTCGGCTCCTCCGCGAATAGCAGCACCCGCCGCCGACAGCAGCAACCGTCGCCGCCGACAACAGCACCCGCCATCGCCGCTGCCGTGACAGCCGCCACCGCCGCTGCCGGAGCCGCAACTGCCGCCGCCGCTGACCGCAGGAGCCGCTGCCGACGTGCCTCGGCCCTGCCCCACCACTTGCGGGCCCCTACCCATCCACCCTGGTAAGAGCACCGCCGAGCCGCGCCTGCTGCTACTGCTACTAGCCTGCTGCTACTATTGTCATGGCTACCCCTAGCGTTCTCACCTTTGATGCTGAGGGTCGGGCTGTCAACTTTGATGTCAGGGTCGATGATCTGCAGCTTTTCTTGTAGTGCGATAGGAAAGACGGTCTCTCACTGTTCGATCTCACGTCTGGCGCCTCTCCTGCCCCTACTGCCGATGCTGACAGCACTGTTCGCTCACAGTGGGCCAAACGTGATGCTGCTGCCCGTCTTGCTGTGCGTAGTCACTTGCCATCCACTGAGCGCGCGCACTTTAGTCAGTACAAGAGTGCTAAGACCTTGTACGACGATGTAGTTGCACGCTACTCTTCCCCTGCCACTGCTGCCCTTAGCCGCCTCATGCTGCCGTACGTGTTCCCTGACCTCGCCGCCTTTCCCACAGTCGCTGACCTCATTACGCACCTTCGTACTAGTGACACCCGCTACCGCGCTGCGCTTCCTGCTGAGTTCTGCGCCAAGAACCCCCCCCCCCCCCCCCCCCCCATGTACATCACCCTCTACTACATAGTCACCCGGCTCCCTGACTCCCTTCGCTTAGTCAGGGACCACTTCCTCTCTGTTTTCCCCACCACACTCACCAATGACCTCCTCGAGGAGCGCCTCCTGGCAGCTGAGAAGAGTATAGTCGCTGTAGGAGCCTCTCCTGGTGACCCTCGTACCCCCTTCTTTGAGGGGTGCTCCCCCTCCCCGCTTTTGCCCTCTGTTGCCTCTGCTGCTGCCGTCGACTTCGTTGGCACCGAGTCGGTCGGCGCTGCGTCTGCCCCTAGCGGGAGACGCCGCACCGGCAAGGGCAAGGGGGGCAAGGGCGCTGGAGGGGGTGGCGGAGGCGGTGGAGGTGGCGGTGGAGGCGGCGGAGGGAGTGGGGGTGGCGGTGGGAGTGGTGGCGGGGGTGGGGGCTTCGGTGGCGGTGGTGGAGGCGGAGGCGGCGGCGGCGGTGGCGGTGGGAGCGGAGGAGGAGGCGGTGGCGGCGGTGGCGGAGGTGGCGGCGGTGGAGGTGGAGCTGGTCGGGGTGGCTCTGCGCAGCGGGGCGGCTTCGGTGGTGGTTAGCGCCAGCAGCAGCAGCGCACTCGTGACACCACGCCCCCCCAGCAGCTTTGTGAGTGGTACGCTGCGGGTCAGCGGGGTGGGGGTGCTGGTCCTTGTGCCTACGTCCTGCGTACCGGCGGCCGCACTGGTGAGCTGTGCGGTGGCCCGAACACCACCGAGCGCTGCTTCGGCCGCCTGACAGACGCTTGGCGTCTCCAGTTCCCTGACGCCACTGAGATCCCCCACTGGGGTGAGCTGCTTAGGTCGGGGGTTGCTATCTTTGATCTGGATTATGATGCTATTCTTGCTGCCATGTATATTGTGTCTACTAGTGATGAGGGTGACTGTTACCTGTGTGTTCCGCCTGACCCGGGCATTGAGGCTGCTCCTCTAGGTGCTGGTGAGGCTGCTACTCTAGGTGCTAGTGCGTCTGCTGCCCCAGGTGCTGGTGAGTCTGCTCTCTCAGGTACCACGTCGGCTCAGGCCTTACACACCTTCACCCTTGACTCGGGTGCTTCCCGCTCCTTCTTTCGAGACCGCACCACGCTTACGCCGCTTAGTCGGCCAATTGCGGGCTCCCTGGCGGACCCCTCTGGGGGTCCTGTCCTTGCCCACTTCTCCACTGTCTTACCGTGTCCGGCGGCCCCCTCTGGCACCCTGTCCAGTCTCTACCTCCCCTTGTTCTCTACGAACTTGGTGAGTGGTGCTGATCTATAGGATGGGGGGGTTGACCAGTTTGAGAGAAGTTGAACGAGAATGAATGAACTATGAATGAAGTGGGTACAAGTACAAACCCTAATTGGGTTGTACCCCCTATGGGATACCCCACTACAGCTTACACAAATGTATAAGCTATATAATGTTCTGACACACCCCCATAGGCAAAGTGGGGGAGAACAAGGGGTCACAAGACCAGTCAAGCAAAGCAAAGCAAAGCAAGCTCAGGGTGGATCACAAAGTCACGACACAGTCCGAGCACAAGGTCAAGGCCACAAGGCCAGTTCACATGCAGGAGTGCACATATATATATAACACTAAACAAGCAAGAGCAGGTATATATATATGCAAGAGTACAAGTAAGATCAAGAGGTGAGCAAGTGAGGTAAGACAGGTACAAGTCCCAGCTGAGTGCAGAAGCGCTGATGATCACAAGGCGGAAGTGCCTTGGTGAAAACATCAGCAGTGTTGGCCTCAGAGGCCACGTACGCAAGTCGCAACTGACCACGCTGCTGCAGCTCACGAGCAAGAAAGTAGCGGAGAGCAATGTGCTTCGTTCTGTGCTCCAGGCGCTGCTCTTGACACAAGGCCAGCATGGCCTTGTTGTCTACGTACAGCACTGGAGGAGAACGAGGCGGCTCTCCAAGGTCAGTCAGCAGGTAGGTGAGCCAGCGAAGCTCCTGAGCAGCCATGGCGTAGATCTCAGCCTCACAACTGGAGCCGAGAACAGAAGACGAGCGAGTAGCCCGCCACGAAAAAGTGCCGGAACCAAGACTGAAGGTGTAACCCTGTGACGACCGCTGAGTAGCCTGGTCGTCAGCCCAAGAAGCGTCCGCGTGCCCAGTGAGGACCACTGGACTCTGCCCTCCAAGCACTAGCCCCATGCTCGACGTACTGCACAAGTAGCGCAACACCCTCTTCGCTGCAGCCATGTGCTCTGGTCGGTGTCTCCCAGGAGCAACATAGCGTGCAAGAATGCTAAGAGGGTATGCAAGGTCAGGTCGTGTGCAGGTCATCAGGTACATGAGGCAGCCAACAAGCTCTGGGTACGGACCACTCGACTCTACGGACTCATCCGAAGGCAGAGCTGAGAGCGAGTGGCGAGTAGACAGAGGAGTGGCCTAAGGCGAGGAGTACGTGAAGGTGAAGCGCTGAAGGACCTGCTGCACCATGTGTGATTGAGTCAAGGTAATGGTGCGTCGTGCTCTGTCCCGAGTGATCTGCAAGCCAAGGTAGCTGCGCAGTTCACCCAGGTCTGTGCACGTGTGTCTCTTCTGCAGCTCAGACTTCACGTAGGCGAGTCCAGCAGTGTCCGCTGTGGCAAAGACCAAGTCGTCGACGTACACGAGGATGTAGAACGGCGGCAGAGAAGTGTCGGTGCGCAGAAACAACGATGGGTCAGCAGTAGAGGGAGCAAACCCAAGAGCCGCAAGCGTAGTCCTCAGTGTGTCGTGCCACTCACGCGGTGCCTGGCGGAGACCGTAGACTGGCCGTCGGAGGCTCCACTGGGTGCCAGGAGGGAAAGTCCCAGTGAAGCCAGGTGGACGGCGCAGCCAGATCTCCTTGTGCAGGCTACCCTGCAAGAAAGCAGTGCTGAAGTCAAGAGAGTGGAGCTCGTAGTCGCGCTTAGCGGCTATGTGCAGCAGCACCCGAAGAGTGGTCATCTTCGGGGTGGGAGAGAAGGTCTGAAAGTAGTCAACTCCCTGCCGCTGACTGAAGCCTCGAGCCACGTAACGTGCCTTGAAGACAGGCGGAGAACCCGGCGGCCGCTTCACCCTGAAAATCCACATGCCACTGACGATGTTCGCCCCAGGAGGGGGAACCGCGTCAACGTAGGTGCCTGTGGACTTCCAGGAAGCCATCTCTGCATCCATAGCTGCCTGCCACTGAGAGGAATAGGGACCCTCTACGGCCTCCGCGTAAGAGCGCGGAATCGGGATGTCCAGTGCATCCGGGTCTCCCTCAGGGGCAAGTAGTACGGACACGAGATGAGGTGAAGCAGCAGCCAGACACTGGAACTCCTCCTGCCTGTCCTCAAGGACGTCTGTGCTAAGAGCACACTCACCCCCGACGGACGGAGGACAGACAGACACAGACTCAGCAACAAGACTGGCAGCGTAGTCTAGACGACAGCGAGCAGCAAAGTCGACGAGCTCAGCAACAAGCGCAGACGCAGCAGTGGACTCAAAAGAGGGGTCAGTGACGACAGTAGCAAGGAGACGCGTGACAGTAGGACTGGCAGCACGAATAGAGTCCGACTCAGGGTCGGCAAGCGCAGGAAGAGAGGACTCAGGAGGAGAGGGCAAAGTGGCACGCAGAGGAGCAGTGGACGGACGCAGAGACATCCGGTGCGTACCAGGGACAGGAGGAGGACGCTGACGCGAACTGCGACCACTAGTGCGAGCAGCACGAACAGGCGACGCAGGACGGGACGCAAGCTCACGACGCTCAGCAAGACCTCCAGTAGGACCAGTGTACGGAGAAGGAGAAGGCAGTGGGGAGGCCGGCGGTAACTGTGACTGTGACTGGACAGGCGGTGGACACTCTACAGGAGGAGAAAGACCAAAAACCTGCTGCAGGAGCGGAACGAAGTACGGCCGAGGCAGCGCAGCAACTCCAGACACAGCAGGGACAGCACCAGCACCCTCAGCGGCAGCACTAGCGCCAACAGCACCTCCAGCGGCAGAACCTCCAGCAGCACCAGCAGCACCCGCAGTAGGACTGACTCGTCGAACGTGACATCCTGGGAGGACAGAACACGATGAGAGGAGGGGTGGTAGAACTGCCACCCTGGGGCGTCAGGGGGGAAGCCTAGGAAGACACAGGGAGCAGCATGAGGGGACAGCTTGTCCGCAGACAAGTCGCGGACAAACGCCCGAGATCCCCAGACACGGAACGCAGACGCATCGCCGACCTTCCCCGTCCACAGCAGAGCTGGGGAGGTCTTCGGCCGGGAGACCCTGGGGTGAAGGTTGATCTGATGCGCCGCGTACCGAACCGCAAACGGCCACAGAAAATGGGGGGCAGCCGCATGCATCATGGACGTACGAGCGACGTCCATGACCTTGCCAATGCGGCGCTCAGCAATCCCATTTTGCTGTGGAGAGTCCGGAGGCGTAAAGGTCTGGCGGATGCCTCATGCACGACAGTAGGCTCGCAGAAGGCCAGAGGAGAACTCTCCACCTCGGTCAGAGTGCAGACGCAGGACAAGAAAGTCCGAGCCGAAGCTCCTCCTGAGCTGGAGACGAGCTGCGCGGATCCAGTCGGTCAACACCTCAGTGACATCACCCTTGCTGCGCAAGGGGAAGACTGTGGTGTAACGCGAGTAGTCGTCAACCACCAGCAGGAAGTAGCGCACGTGACCCTGTCCACGGACACGGGCCGGGCCCCACACGTCCATGTGAAGCGTCTGCAGAGGAGCCTTTGTCGGGGGAAACTGGGAGGAGTGAGGGGCAGCCCTGAGCCGCCCCTCGACACAGGGGACACAGGAAGGTCGTGGCCCCGAAGGAAGGGGAGGGAGAGACCGGGGGAGACCAGAGACAAGGACACGGGAAGCCATGCCCCAAAGACGAGGCAAGGAGGGGTGGCCAAGACGGTGGTGCCACAGGAGAGTCTCGTGAGACAGGAGGCGACACGAGCAAGGGGCAGACTCAGGACCAGACCTGGACGCGGCAGCAAACACCTGACCCGACGCAGCTACCTGACCAGACGCAGCGACTGGAGGAGACGCTGTGGTCAGTGTGTACAGGCTCGACCCCGGCCGACGTGTAAACGTGGCCAGGTGTCGGCCTGTCCGAGCGTCCGTGCAGTGGGTCACCAGCTGACTCGCAGGAGTGAACTGGTGAACCCCCATATCCTGCAGGTCAGCACCACTCACCAAGTTCGTCGAGAACGAGGGGAGGTACAGACCAGACAGGGTGCCCGAGGGGGCAGCCGGACACGGGAGGACAGTGGAGAAGTGAGAGAGGACAGGGCCCCCAGAGGGGTCAGCCAGGGAGACTGCAAGCGGCCGACCAAGCGGCGTGAGTGTGGTGCGGTCTCGAAAGAAGGAGCGAGAAGCCCCTGAGTCAAGTGTGAAGGTGAGGGAGGCCGAAGCCGACGCAGTACCTGAGAGCGCAGCCTCACCAGTACCTGAGAGCGCAGACGCACTGGCACCTAGAGCAGCAGCCTCACAAGCACCTAGCGCAGCAGTACCAATGCCCGGGTCGGGCGGGAAACACCGGTAACAGTCACCCTCATCACTAATAGTCACAGCATACATGGCAGCAAGGATAGTATCAAAGTCAAGATCAAAGATAGCTACGCCAGCCCTAGACAGCTCTCCCCAGCGGGGAATCTCACTAGCCTCGGGGAACTGCTGACGCCAAGCGTCCGTCAGGCGGCCAAAGCAGCGCTGGGTGGGGTGGGCACTTCCACACTGCTCACCCGCGCGGTCGCCGGAACGAAGGACGTAGGTGCACGGACCAAAACCCCCACCACGCTGACGCTGCGCATACCACTCACGGAGCTGCTGAGGCGGGGGGATGTCCCGAGAACGCTGCTGCTGCTGCTGGCGCTGACCACCACTAGTGCCGCTCCGCTGCGGGGCACCACCCCGACCAGCTCCACCCCCTCCGCCACCGCCGCCTCCACCTCCGCCACCACCGCCGCCTCCGCTCCCACCGCTGCCGCCGCCACCGCCTCCGCCTCCGCTGCCGCCACCACCACCACCACCCCCGCCACCACTCCCACCGCCACCCCCACTCCCTCCGCCGCCTCCACCGCCACCTCCACCGCCCCCGCCAGCTCCACCGGCGCCCTTGCCCCCCTTGCCCTTGCCAGGTCGGCGTCTCCCGCTAGGGGCAGACGCCGCGCCGACCGACTCAAGACCAAGCAGGTCGGCAGCAGCAGCAGAGGCAACAGAGGGCAGCAGGGGGGAAGGAGAACACCCCTCAAAGATGGGGGTGTGAGGGTCACCCCGAGAGACTCCTACAGCGACGATGCTCTTCTCCGCCGCCAGG